AATCCCTGCCTTCAGCAACCTTATTTTGTTAGGAATAGTCAATGTGAAGATAAGACAATACTACTCAAGCAACAGTTGGAACACTTTATACAGCAAAGCATCCTGGTTATAAATTAGTAATGCAGGCTGAGTAAGGTGGCTGATGCCTGTGATCCCAGCATTTTAGGGGGCTGAGGCAGGAGGACTGCTTGAGTCCAGGCATTTGAGATCAGCCTGGGCAACATCGCAAGACCTAGTCGTATAACAAAAAGAAAAAAAGAAATAATAGTAATGCAGTACTTCCTTTAGCTGTGGCATGTGATCCTCCAGAATGTGTAAACTCCATTCTATCTCTGCAAACAGAGGTGTCCGTGCTGCCCTATGCAACTTTGCAAAAAGTCATGTTATATTTTTGCTGACACACATTCTCAGGCTATCCCAGGAAATCAGTAAATGCCAAACCCACTCAATTAAGAAAAAGATGGAGAAAGTAAAAATATTTTGACAAAAGTCCAAAAGTATTTAAGATTTCCCCCGAATTATTCTCTTCCCTGTTTCCCTCTTTAATCTTTGATTGGACAGTTATGAAAAGGAACTCAGAGCTTCCTGAGCATGTAGCTAACCAAGAAAGATTTTCAAGAAAGACATGCATGAGCATATAGGCTATCTTCCTTGTTTGTTTGGGGGATCATTTAGATTTTATTTTATTTTAGTTCTTTTTTTTTTTTTTTTTTTGAGTTGGACTCTCACTCTGTCGCCCAGACTGGAGTGCAGTGGCCGCTCCCGGCCACCGCAGCCTCGACCTGCTGGGCTCCGGCGATCCTTCCGCCTCAGCATTCCGAGTAGCCGGAATTACAGGCACGCGCTACCACGCCCGGGTGATTTTTTGATTGATTGTAGAGATGAGGTCTCGCTGCCCAGGCGGGTCTCGAACCCGCGGGCTCAGGCAATCCACTCACCTCAGCCTTCCAAAGGCGCGGGATTACAGGCTGAGCCACCGAGCTCAGCTTATTTTAGGTCTTTTTAAACAGGGTGGATCTGTCATCTCTGTGTTGGTTCTTTCAAGACTTCAACAGAACAAAATCTTCATCTGAAGATTTTGTTGTATCATGGAAATTGGGCTAAATTTGGATTACTCTGAAGTTCTGTAAGTTATTTTAGAGGAAAGATGCCAAAAAATATTCCATCATCACTGAGAGTTTCCTGTGAGCTAGGCTGGACTTTGGAAATAAACCTCTGTGTTAACTCTCCGCCTCCACTTTCTGCAATACAATGGTTCATCTGTGAGGTATGAGGGACCAACTCTACTTTTAAACAGAGACTAATTTCTAGCCACTCGTGTATTAGAAAAACTATAAAATGAATGTCAAACTGCTTAGTCATTTCCTTCTTAAAATAATTGACCTAAAGTTCAGAAAAGGGCAAGAAAGGCAAACCATTAGGCACGTCAAGAGATGGACAATATTCAAAACAAACTTTGTCTTAAGTATTTTTGGTGTCTGCAAAAGCCCACTCCCCAATAATGTCTCATTCAATAAATCAAATCTGATGCTCTAATTTTAATTATAGTAAAGTGTTTGAAGAAAATGTTTTCTTTATATCAATTTATATAAATTTAGAGCTATACATATATCTATAAATATAATATACAAATAGATATATCTAAATATATTCATATATATTAATACACATATGAATATATATTAATATATATTCATATATATTAATACAAATATGTGTTTTTGTATTGGGGCATTCAGTTATGGAGACGGTGTCTCCAGTCTCCCTTTGGGTACTGAGGTCTTGATATTTCAAACATCTGTTCTGAAACTGGGTCCCTGATTCCTAGGCATTTGTGAAGATCAGAAAAGTGGTCTAGGAGTTTTTTATAATATTTTTTAAGCTCCTGCACTCTGAAGATTGTTTAGAATATTTGTGTTTCCCTAATTTGACCTACCAATAAATTGTGAAATTATGATCTCGGTTTCTCTGACAAGCCAATATGAACAAATGGTTTACTTAAAATATTGCTACAAAGGAAGTGACCTTTTTTATTCCCCTTTGTTTTTTCTTGTTTTTAAAAGACTTGCAAATCAGAACTAAATCCTCAAAATTGGAAAGATATCTTTAAACATTGTTGTCTGATGTGATGGAATAGGAAAGTATCAGTAATTGTGCTTCAAACTAAAGAATTATGTCAGGAAAGTTGTCATATTTTATTATATTTTGAATCTATGTAAAAACAATGAGAAAGGGCTGGCTGAAATAATGCTACTGGAAGTTCACGTGCAGTTGAAGGTAGCTGAGGTGTATTTCTTCTGGCTTTCCTTTGCTTCGTTGTTTAGTATTTTCTTTTATTTCACTGAGTTCTTCTGTAAATCCATGGGCCGGTTCCTGGGAGGCTCTAGATCTGGCAGCTAGCTACAGGCTAGAGGAATTAGACATAATTATTTCTCATCATGAGTCTACTATGTTTCCTTCCAGAGGCATGAATTCAGACCCAGGTTATGCCTAACTGGGCAGTGGTCAGAGGAATTCAGACCACAAAGCACAGAGAGCATAAGGTAGTAATAACTCTATTCACCCAAGATGGTTTGCCTGAAAGAACCTTTTCACAGCAGCGAGAAGGTCTGAGATGGGACCAGAAGGTAGGGCCAGCTAGATTGACTGCATCATTTCTCAACTTCCAAGAACAGTATCAAGCCATGGAACTCTCAGTAAAAGAGCTATAGAGAAACAATTTGGAATGCCATTTCTACATGTTGCTGCAAGCATGGTAACTCTCCCTAGCTACTGAATTGATTTAGGATGCAGGAAGTTTTACGGATACATCTGTTTAACCTTGTATTCATTTCACTATTTTAAGACAAGGCCTGGAAAATAATTTTTAAAATATACAAAGAATTGGACAGAAAAATTAGGTTTTAAATAAGTTTGGAAACAGCAAGTACGTACAAATTTTTCATTTGTGAAAAAATGAAGGACAATGAAGAGGGGACATTTATGAATATGTCCACTGTAATGTTCTTAATTTGTAATTGTACATTCCACGTTCAAATGTAATATGATCTTAAATGATTGTATTAAATTATGTTAACAGCTTCAGGTAGCTCTGAAGGGCTAATAGGCAAGACTTCTCTGCAGTTGATATAGGCATCCCAAACATTCTGATAGCAACATCACAAATATAATTTTTTTTTTTTTTTTTTTTTTGCCTATGTCCTAAGAGATAAACCTCTTGATGAAGGAGTGGCTCCTTGTTTCAGAAAGTCAATATTCATATCTAAGGTATTTTCTAGTTACTTTCCTCAAGGTATATGCCTCTATTTATGCTGTTAACCCTTTCTTGGGGGCTCAATTTAGTTTCTGGTCACCTTTCTTCCAACTCTTAAACTGCATGAAGAGGAGATTTGATATAATCTGATGGATATCATTAGGCATATTTTGATGACTACTAGAAAATCGGGTTTCTCAAGATTAATAGCAGCTAGAGAATTGAACATATCTACCCAGTAAGCTTAGTTGAAGACTCTTGAGAATTTAAAGGAATTAAATACTCAAAGTAGGCCCTGGCCAACTTTTCCAATTTTTGTCGACAGAAAAACGTACCCATTCATTCAACACATCTTTATCGAGTGGCTATTGTATGGTGGCACCCTGTTGGGTACTGTTTCAGAGAATCTTTAGAAAAATATCGTAGGAAATATGAAGGAACAAAAAGGAGTCGGTAGTAGGGAATGATTTCAACTTGGAAAAAATGACCTGGAACTCTACCTTTCAGGGGTGACAGCGTTACTTTGAGGATGGAGTGAGCAGAGACGGAATGGAGGAACCCATTCGCTTCATTACTTCCACTGTGGAGTGACCCTGTTTTCGGCTCCTGGGGCCAAGGGCCAGCGCCAGGTTCTTTATGAGGCGCTGTGGGCCTCGCGGCTTGGAGACGACTTCTGCCGGCTGCAGCCACCCCTCCCCCTCCCCGCCCCATCCAGGATCAGGACAGAATCAGCTGGAAAATGAAATTACTCACCCCCTGAATGTCAGCTCCCATTAAAGTCTTTCTCCTCCTCCCTCAGAGTACAACTCAGCCCTTTAAGAGGCAAGCCCCGGAATGAACCTGGTGCTGACTTTAAACCTTCAGAGAGAAACATGTCAGTTTCAGATCTCCCAAGGGAGCTTCCCTGCAAGCTCCTGGGTGTGGACCCCTAGGGTCCCTCCACGTCACCTTGATTCCTTTCTTCCAAACATCGATTTAAAAAAAAAAAAAAAAAGGAATACAAATACTGGGCGGAGTAGGCAGCGCCAGGAGCCCACTGGTTCCACGTCTGCCACACGAAGTCGATTTTTGCTCAGGGATAAGGTTACCGCTGCCAGTCCCGGACTCCAGCGGTGTGGCGGATCAGACGCCGGCTGCTCCCCTCCCCCAGCCGACCAGCGAGAGGCTAGCAGACGGGAGCAAGGAGACAAGTAGCTGTTTTTATTGAATACAGAAGCTCCTTGAAAACTCCGTGTGCTCCGGGGCTCTCCTGCAATTCCTTTCATTCCCAAAGCGCCGGAGCCAAGCACGCGTCCCGCGTAACGCCCTCCCATTTCTTCCCGGGGATGTGGGTAGGCGGGGAGGGGGGAGAGTCGCGGGGA